AGAACTGTCTAAACGCATTTAGAACGTTTTAGAATCATTTAGAATGCTCCAGAATCATTTTCAATATTTCAGAATCATTTAGAACTGTTTAAAATTATTTAGAATACTTCAGAATTCTTTAGAAGTGTCTAAACCCATTAAGACCGTTTTAGAGCCATTTGGAATGCTCCAAAATCATTTACAATATTTCACAATGATTTAGAACTCTTTAAAATTATTTAGAACACTTCAGAATGTTTTAGAACTGTCTAAACGCATTTTAAAGGTTTTAAATTCATTTAGAATGCTCCAGAATCATTTACAATATTTCAGAATAGTTTAGAACGGTTTAAAATTATTTAGAACTATTCAAAATTCTTTAGAACTGTCTAAACGCATTTAGAACGTTTTAAATTCATTTAGAATGCTCCAGAATCATTTAGAACTGTTTAAAATAATTTAGAAAACTTCAGAATTCATTAGAACCGTCTAAACCCATTTAGTACGTTTTAGAATCATTTAGAATGATCCAGAATTATTTACAATATTTCAGAATCATTTAGAACTGTTTAAGATTATTAAGAACACTTCAGAATTCTTTAGAACTGTCTAAACCCATTAAGACTTTTTAGATCCATTTGGAATGCTCTAAAATCATTTAGAATATTTCACAATGATTTAGAACTGTTTAAAATTATTTAGAACACTTCAGAATGTTTTAGAACTGTCTAAACGCATTTTGAAGGTTTTAAATTCATTTAGAATGCTCTAGAATCATTTACAATATTTCAGAATAGTTTAGAACTGTTTAAAATTATTTATAACACTTCAGAATTCTTTAGAACTGTCTAGACGCATTTAGAACGTTTTAAATTCATTTATAATGCTCCAGAATCATTTACAATATTTCAGAATCATTTAGAACTGTCTAAAACCATTAAGACCTTTTTAGAGCCATTTGGAATGCTCCAAAATCATTTACAATATTTCACAATAATTTCGAACTGTTTAAAATTATTTAGAACACTTCAGAATTCTTTAGAACTGTCTAGACGCATTTAGAACGTTTTAAATTCATTTATAATGCTCCAGAATCATTTACAATATTTCAGAATCATTTAGAACTGTCTAAAATTGTTTAGAACACTTCAGAATTCTTTAGAACTGTCTAAAACCATTAAGACTTTTTAGAGCCATTTGGAATGCTCCAAAATCATTTACAATATTTCACAATGATTTAGAACTGTTTAAAATTATTTAGAACACTTCAGAATTCATTAGAACTGTCTAAACGCATTTAGAACGTTTTAAATTAATTTAGAATGCTCCAGAATCATTTAGAACGGTTTACAATTATTTAGAAGAATTCAGAATTCTTTAGAACTGTCTAAACCCATTAAGACTTTTTAGATCCATTTGGAATGCTCCAAAATCATTTACAATATTTCACAATGATTTAGAACTATTTAAAATTATTTAGAACACTTCAGAATTCTTGAGAACTGTTTAAACCCATTAAGACCGTTTTAGAATCATTTAGAATGCTCCAGAATTATTTACAATATTTCAGAATCATTTAGAACTGTTTAAAATTATTTAGAACACTTCAGAATTCTTTAGAAGTGTCTAAACGCATTTATAGCGTTTTAAATTCATTTAGAATGCTCCAGAATCATTTACAATATTTCACAATTATTTAGAACTGTTTAAATATTTATAACACTTCAGAATTCTTTAGAACTGTCTAGACGCATTTAGAACGTTTTAAATTCATTTATAATGCTCCAGAATCATTTACAATATTTTAGAATCATTTAGAACTGTCTAAAACCATTAAGACCGTTTTAGAACCATTTGGAATGCTCCAAAATCATTTATACTGTTTCACAATGATTTAGAACTGTTTAAAATTATTTAGAAGTCTTCAGAATTCTTTAGAACTGTCAAAAACCATTAGGACCTTTTTAGAACCATTTGGAATGCTCCAAAATCATTTACAATATTTCACAATGACTTAGAACTGTTTATAATTATTTAGAACACTTCAGAATTCTTTAGAACTGTCTAAACTTATTTAGAACGTTTTAAATTCATTTATAATGCTCCAGAATCATTTACAATATTTCAGAATCATTTAGAACTGTCTAAAATTGTTTAGAACACTTCAGAATTCTTTAGAACTGTCTAAAACCATTAAGACATTTTTAGAACCATTTGGAATGCTCCAAAATCATTTATACTGTTTCACAATGATTTAGAACTGTTTAAAATTATTTAGAAGTCTTCAGAATTCTTTAGAACTGTCAAAAACCATTAGGACCTTTTTAGAACCATTTGGAATGCTCCAAAATCATTTACAATATTTCACAATGATTTAGAACTGTTTAAAATTATTTAGAACACTTCAGAATTCTTTAGAACTGTCTAAACTTATTTAGAACGTTTTAAATTCATTTATAATGCTCCAGAATCATTTACAATATTTCAGAATCATTTAGAACTGTCTAAAATTGTTTATAACACTTCAGAATTCTTTAGAACTGTCTAAAACCATTAAGACCTTTTTAGAACCATTTGGAATGCTCCAAAATCATTTACAATATTTCACAATGATTTAGAACTATATAAACTCATTTAGAACGTTTTAAATTCATTTATAATGGGCTCATTCGATAAAATTTAGAATTTGATCAAACTTTATATACATAAAGAAGAGGTTAAAAAAAATGGTTACTGAAAGTTTCAAGTTGATCCGATCTGCGGTTCTTTGATTATTCGAGTTTAAAGATGCGATTATTTGTCTCCGCGATAGTACGATGATGACGTCACTGCATGCGATCTCTCCGCTGTCCGCTTCGAATTCACTTAACTTGCATTGCATTCGCGATCGTTTCGTCTTTTTATCGACTATGTTTAATTGATTATAAGGGTAATTATAATAAATAATTAATGCTAATTGTAAGTATAATATTCTGGATATCGATCAATGAGATTAGGTTCGTAAAAATATTTAGGAATACCTAAATAATAACTAATACCTACCTATGTAAGTTTTGGATTTTGCTCTATAACATGTATTACCCTTTTTATAATGTTCTCTTTTTCATTAGACCAAGTTGACTCAGAATTAACAAAAAATGATCCCGATCAAGTAGTCACAAATTCTGAAGAATCACTTGAAGAAATAGGAAGAGTGTCATCTAATTTACTAGTAAAATCATATGGTAACTGTCCAGAACGGGCAAATCACACTGAGTTTGTTTTGAAAATAGTTTGGGAATTATGTTTATATAAACTTGAATTTGTTTATGACAGGCCTTATTTGTAATAATGTTGTTTAAATTTTTATCCATTGTCAAATTCACATCATCCACATCATCGTTCTGTTCACTCCGAGTACTTTTAAAACAACTAGATAAATCCTCGATAGTAGTTTATCGGTCTTTTTAAAAATATTGTTCTTGCTTGTACAGTGTGTTTAACACTTTGAACTTTTTGGCAGTCGAAGATATTAGGTACAACATCTTGTTTCATTGGGAATAAGTCATTGTTTTAATATAGATGTAATTTTCCATATCGTTTTCAAACTAAAAAAATTAATTATATTTACTAAGCAAGCTAATTATTATAATTAATACTTATATTAAAATGATCTTCACAGATAAAATGTGTTGACTTAGTACTAACCAGCAACGAGAGGGCGGATGCGCTGGCTGTGGAGGGGACGGCAACTCCTTTCAGTGGCCCGGGCCCGACCCTGGGCCTTACAAAACAAATGATTCGTAAAGAGGCGGGAGTTTGGCTGAGAAATCAGCATCTCGCTTATTGGAGTGCTCTGCATGGTCTTAGGCAATCCAAGCTCCTTCTTAGGGGCTGGACTGATGGACATGCTAGGGCAGCTGTGGAACTATCAAGGAGTAGGTTAAAAAAGATAGCAGGACTCCTAACGGGGCACTGTTGTCTGAGAAAACACCTCTATAACCTAGGTTTAGAGGAAAGTCCCCTTTGCAGGGGCTGTGGCATGGCTGATGAAACATCGGACCATGTTCTTCTGGAGTGTCAGAAGTGGGCTGTGCTACGCAGGCGAACCTTTGGGGTCCCTGTTATGGCCCCTGGAGACACAAATAGGCATCCATTGAAAAGGACTGAGGCCTTCATCGAGGGACTCGGCTTCATGGATGCATAAGCAGCAGGAATGGCACAATGGGCCCGCTAGAGGCCTCAGTGCCTGAGCCTTGGCTTGAGCTGTCTCGGCCAAGGTTCGCCTGAAGTAGTAGTAGTAGTAGTACTAACCAGTATATACTTCTTTTCATTGATTTTTGTCACAATTTGTTTTTTCTTAAATTGCGCGGAAGACTAATAAATATTTCATTAGGCGTCTTAAAACTAGTGCTTCGACATTTGGGAACAATGCAATATTTATAACTATTTTTTCATTTATTGTCCGTCATTATTTAAAACTCCCTAAGCCTATTTAAAACCCTAAAAGCGCGTTTCAATATTATCAATCGACAACCTATATTACAAATTTGTTCTCGCAACGCATGCAGTGACGTCACAGTCAATTCGAGCGAACGCTCGGCGCGACGGTTTTTAAGGCCTTTTTAAGTGACTTCTACATGGAATTTTATTCTGATTTTTTGCATAGTGACTTAAAATTATGTGGTCTTTCCAAAAAGCAAATAAAAAAAAAGTGTCGAATGAGCCCATTGTTGTAACCGAATGGTAGACGAGAAGAAAAAGAAGAGTTCGACAAATGACAATTGACATATGGCATTGTAAGATTTGACGTTCATAATTATTGTTAAAAATATAACTCGTTTCTAATTCGATATATAATTCGATTCAACCCGTTAATCAACAAATTCAAAAACCACCCGGATACAATAAAGTGGCGACGAGTGAAAATTCAGCGAAGCATAACCAGAAGGAAGCACTATTTCGATGCACATGGTTTCATAACCTATCTTTTTTGTTAAAAACAAAAGAAAAACACGATTTTCAACTAACTCCATAGAAAGATGGATCCAGCTCAATTCAAATTATTAATGGAAGCATTCCAACAACAACAACAAGCTCTTATAAAGGAGGTTTCAAACCAGTTCCAGGCGCAAATTCAAACGATGGTACAGTCGACACAGGCGCAACAAGCGGTAAATTACCCTGTTGTAAACATGATGAATGTGACACCTTTTGAAAACTTCGATAGTCGTAGAGAAAAGTTTAGTAATTACTTAGAGCGGTTTGAAAATTATTATTCAATGAAGGGGCTAACGGATAAAACCAAAATAGGCCAACTCCTTTGCGCGTCTATTGGAAGTGATCACTACAATAGCATGGAAGCCTTCTTGGGACCGGACAATCCACTGAAATCATTGGATTACGACATTTTAGTAGGAGAGTTCAAGAAGATGCTGATTCCCAAGTAGAACGTAGTAGTAGCGCAACACTATTTTCTCAATATATATCAAAAAGAAAGACAATCAATAGCGGATTTTGTGGCAGCATTGAGACGCGATTTACCAGAGTTCGAGTTGACAGTTGACTGCCAATGCGGACAAGCAGTGTCAATTGCAGATGTCCTACTACGTGCACAGTTTATTCGAGGGCTAAGAGACGACTGGCTCCGGGAACAAATACTTCAATCAAACAAAACGAAATTCGATGAAATCCTAAACCAAGCAGTTTCCCTGGAGGCATCAAAGATTGATTGTAGGGAGCTCACAAATAAAAATAATTCAAATCATCAAAATTTAGATGATGTCAACGCTGTTTTGAATACATATAGACTTTCAAGGTCACGCGAGCAAAATGGTAGACACACAGCGCATCAAAAATCACAATTTCAACAAAGACAACCAGATTTTAAGGAGTTAGGAATCGAACATATGTGTTTAAGGTGCGGACGTGATAACCATGCGACTACTGAATGCAGGTCAGATAAAACAAGACTAAAATGTAAAGAGTGCCAGAAAACAGGCCACATTGCTAAGGTCTACATTACAACATTGATCGCCAGAAAGAAAAAAAGTAATTCTGGTTCAACAAACTTGTTACATGAAGTACTATACAATCAACAACAATGTTCGAGCAAAAGTAGTTACGGGTTGAACAAGGTCGAAGCAGTAAATAATACAATTGATGTTGTGACTTGTTCGAAATGGGACTTGATTCGGACAAATACATGATTGAAGTGAAATTGAACGGAAAACCTCAACGTTTTGAAGTGGATAGTGGGGCTAAGTTTTCATTGTTAGCAAAGGATGACTTCGATCGACTAAACATAAATGTTCCGATAGAAAATTCAAGCATGGCATTTCGCTCATATACAGGCGATATTATTCGACCAGAAGGAAAAGTAAAAATCAGCATTTCTTACAGAGGATTGAGTATGGACGGTGAATTGCACATTGTACCAGAGGGTCACGAAGCGCTCCTGGGACGACAATGGATTCGTGGATTGGACATCGAACTGATTCAAATAGATAGGGAGAGAAGCGAATTACCAATATCGCAAATACAACAAGTAGAGCCAGAAGACATTTTCTCCAGGTATGCGTCGATTTTTGAACAGAAAATTGGATGCGTGCCAGGCTTGAAAATAGCACTACAATTACGAGAGGGCGCTACACCCATATTTACTCGTGAACGCAACGTGCCCCACGCATTATTGGATCGAATTAATAAAGAGCTAGATTCTTTAGAACAGGGATGGCCAAACTTTTATCCCTTCCGGGCTACTTATTCTATAAAATAAATCCTGCGGGCGACTATCAATATGGGCAAAAAAATTTAATATTTTTAAAATTTTTCAAATAAACAAAACAATTTATTATACATAATATTTTTATTTTACATTTTTTAAATTAAAAAAAAATACAATTTTAAGAAATAAATGAGGCGTTTCATTCCAAAATTCACTTTGTGCACTTTTTAAAAACGTGGCAAAACAAGAAAAACTAATAAATTTAAGTATGGTGTGAATGTGAATACTCAGTTTTTTACTTGAAATTGTAGTACAAAGGAGTCACTTTTGGCAATTATTTTTTCATACAAACGTGGCTCTTTTACCAATGAAAACAATGGGTCTAAAAAATAAATAATTTCAAAAAGTGCACAAAGTGAGTTTTGGAATGTAACGCCTCAAATACAAACACAAAAACTTTTAACAAATAAAGAAAATAATAATTATAATTTTTTGCAAGTGAAATACTTATTAACTTTTACAAAGATAATGTCACTTTTTTGTCTTATCCGTTTAATTTGATGAAACCTGACATTGCATAAGTTCAGCAAGTTTATCAAAATTTGGCTCATAAGAACTTAATGCAATTCTCAAACATGATTCTAAATGTAGATCTGTTATTTGCGATCGATGTTTTGTTTTGATTGCATTCATAAATGAAAATGCGGATTCGCATAAATACGTAGATCCAAAGAAGGCATTAAAACGACTTGTTGGCCACCCCTGCTTTAGAAGACCAAGGGATAATTACACCAGCGACGACAAGCGATTGGGGATCACCATTAGTAATCATTCCAAAAACAGATGGGGGAGTACGACTCTGCGTCGATTATAAATGTGGCGTTAATGATCGACTAATCCAGGCAAACCATCCAATCCGTCGAATCGAAAATGTTCTAGATAGTCTACGAAATTCTAGATTTTTCTGTAAAATTGACTTATACAAAGCATATTTACATCTCCAGGTAGACGAGGAGTCAAGTAAAATTCAAACCATATCAACCCATCGCGGGACGTATCGAGTCAACCGGTTAAGTTTTGGCATAAAGACAGCGCCGTCAGATTTTAATCGAGTTTTGTCTCAAATTTTAAATGGTTTACCTAAAACAGAGGCATATTTTGATGACATCATCTGCCATGGTACGTCAAAAGAAGAATGTGCAGAAATCCTGGAAGCATGCCTTCAACGATTGTCAAAATTCAATTTACACGTAAACAAACAAAAGTGTTCATTTTTTCAAAATAGAATTGAATACTTGGGAAGAATAGTTGAATACAACAAAATAAGCAAGTCACCAGAAAAAATTCAAGCCATTCAAGAAATGCCAAAACCAGCGAACGTTGAAGATGTGAAACGACTATTGGGACTTGTTTCGTATTACTCCAGATTTATTCCGGATGCTTCAACTATAACATACCCGTTAAGAAGTTTGCTCCAGAAAAAATCAACATGGAAGTGGACACCAAATTGTGAGGCAGCATTTATACGAATTAAAACAGAGCTCTGCAATGATCGAGTTCTAACACCCTTCGATCCTGATCTGCCACTGGTGCTGACGACTGATGCCAGCCCCACTGGATTAGCTGCTATTCTCAGCCATACAATTAGAGGAGCAGAAAAACCCATCGCATACGCGTCAAGATCACTGTCACCTGCGGAGAGAAACTACAGCCAGTTGGATCGAGAAGCACTAGCAATTATATTCGGGGTTTCGCATTTTTACTACTATTTGTTTGGAAATCATTTTGTACTGATCACAGATAATCAACCTATTTCCAGGATTTTCAAGCAAAATAAGACGTTGCCTCAGATGACATCAACAAGGTTACTTCGATATGCTTCATATCTTTCCGGATTTGATTATACTCTTTCTTGAGGTTTTAATAGTGGAATGCTCCAACAAACAAATATTCAATGTGGTATAACTAATATTATTATTAACGAACGATAAATTATACAATTAGATGAGAGTGAGACTGACAACTAACAACTGGCATTTTTTGACTAACAAGTCATGGTAACTAACACATTTCATTTGTCTACTACCTTGCTCTTTCTGACCAAAACCAAAACTAAACTCTACACTCCTCCTCGATTATGTTTTACAAAAAGAATAATCGCTTCCTTATCAAAAAGAAACAGAAAACAAATAACATTAAAAAAAAGAAAAGACATTTGGCGTATAAAAATAACATTCTCACCTTTCATCTAAAGAATTCTAATCTGAGAAGAAATATTTTTAAATTTATCAGGACTTAACGGTTTAGTAAGAATGTCGGCCAAATTATCTTCACTCGTTACATAAACTATTTCAACAATCTTTTTAGAAACCAAATCTTTGATAAAATGCTCCTTAATATCTATGTGTTTTGCACGCTTTGAATTTTCGTAGCTGCTTGCCATAGACATTGCACTGACATTGTCCATTTTCAACTTTACGTTGAACACTTTGTGAAACTCCGACACTACACCTTTTAAGTTCACTAGTTCTTGCGCTGACGCTGCCGCTGCGACGTACTCCGCTTCTGCAGTTGACAAGGCTACACAAGTCTGCTTCTTCGAAAACCAGCTGATTGGATTGCCACCATACGTAGTAACTGATCCACTCGTACTTTTCCTGTCCCTTTTGTCGCCAGCCCAATCCGCATCTGAATGAGTCTCCAAGTTTGGTTCACCTTTTTTATAGAGTAATCCTTTATCCATGGTATTTTTAAGGTATCTCAGTATTCGTTTTGCTGCAATCCATAATGTTTGATTTGGTTTGTCCAAGAATCTACTCAGATAAGATACTGCAAACATTATATCTAATCTGGAAGTACAAGCCAGGTACATCAAACAACCAATTAGCTTCCTATAAGGAACATTTACATTCTCCCCCTCTGTATTTTCCACTTGGAAACCGGGTACCATTGATGTTTGCACACCCTTGCAGTCTAACATGTTGAACTCTTTTAAAACTTTTTCTGTGTATTTCTTCTGTGTAATAACCATATTTCCATCGGTTATTTTAATTTCCATTCCGATGAATTTCTTTATTTCTCCCAAATCTTTAGCATTTAACTTTTCTTTAAGGTTCTTGACTACTTCATCTATCTTATGTTGGGCTCCCGTAATTATCAAATCGTCAACGTATACAATTAACATAACATCTTTCTTGGAATATAAACAAAAATCGAAGTTGCTTCTGTTGATTCCAAGTTCAGTCATAATTTGATTAAATCTATTGTTCCAACATCTAGGACTCTCTTTAAGACCATACAAAGCACGGTTTAATTTCAAGGTTTTCGATTTATCCATATTTAACCCATCTGGAACTTTAATGTAAAAATCAGATTCCAGCGTGCCATTTAAAAAAGCAGTTGGTATATCCAGTTGACGTATATTCCAGTCTTGCTGCAAAGCATGTACAAGAAATGCTCTTATCGTAGATAGTCTTGCAACTGGTCTCCTCCTGAATCTGAAATCCTTTGGCTACTAAACGAGCTTTCTTAGTACCATCATCTTTGGTTCGAAAAACCCATCTCGTATCAATAACAGATTTGCCCTCTGGTGCTCTGCATTCCGTCCAAGTTTGAAGATCTCTATGTGAATCCAGCTCCTTTTGTATCGCCTTTCTCCATTCTCCAACTTTTTGAGCTTCTTTAAAGGTAATCGGATCTCCTTTTGAACTCATAAGATCATAA